CTGCTACTGCTACTACTACTACAACTACTACTCGACGACGGGGCGACGGGGCCTCAATTCGGGGTGGGCGCTGGGGCTTTAAATAGCGGGTTTAATCGGAGTTAAGTTTCTTTCTTTCAACTGCGGCATGCCCCTTCGCCGCTGAAAAACTTGGTAGGAGTAGGAGTAGGTAGGTGAAGGTAGGAGTGGGCGGCATGACCCTTCGCCGCGGTGCCCTCATTCCCCCCTAAACCCTAAACCCTAAACCCTACAAGCATTCAACTTACGTTCCTTCATAGTTGGTGTGCCTGAGCCTAATTTTAATGCGGGCTCTTGTTTGCTTAGTGGGAGCGAAAAATAAGCTTTCAACTCTAAACCCTATAGACCCCCTAAACCCTGTAAGCCCTGAACCCTAAACCCCAAACCCACCCTTAACCCGATAAACCCTAAGCCCGAATGACTGCCTGTTCCCAGGCTGGACGGCTGAGCTTCGGTCGCCTCGGCACAGTTGTGTCGGGCTCCCAGAGAGATGCAGTTGGGGTTTAGGGTTTAGGTTTGTGTCGGGCTCCCAGAGAGATGCAGTTGGGGTTTAGGGTTTAGGGTTGTGTCGGGCTCCTAGAGAGATGCAGTTGGGGTTTCGGGTTTAGGGTTGTGTCGGGCTCCTAGAGAGATGCAGTTGGGGTTTAGGGTTTAGGGTTTAGGGAGTTGGGTTGAGGAAGTTGGGGTTTCTTACATTATGATCATCTAGCGGGTTCCCTTCCAAGTTTCCTTCAAGATTGCTCACTTTTTGTCAGGTAAAGCGAGTAATTACAGGAATCGGGGACCCCAAGGTGTTGATTCTGGAAAACCGGGTTTATGAAACCCAGACCCCATATTGCCCGGTCCAGGGTCAGTGTTGAACTGTTTGCCATTGGGGCTCAAGGTATGCAGCCTTTTTTGGGAACCATTGTCATTGTATCATCGCATCATCAAACAATACCAAAACCCTTCCCAAACCTCATAGGTCTGACGATTGAACTTTCAGGGTTGGTTGGGTTCCAACGGTGTGAATAACTCCTTCCGGCCACAGCCACACTTACACTCAGAGATTCCCATACTCGAGGGCTCGCCCGGTAGGCAAGCTCAGTTGAGGGCCTTTCAAATTTCAGGGCTGGGGATTTCGACTGCGCCAGCCATGGATCAGTGGTGGGGTGGCAAAGGCGGCCAGGGCCAGGGCTGGGGCGCCGGCAGCTGGAAGGGAGCTGCGTGGAAGGGTGCGCAGCCAAAGCACCAGCCTCGCCCCAAGGGAGGAGAGAGGCATCACAGGGTTTAGGGCTTATTTAGGGTTTAGGCAGTTTAGGGTTTGGGGTTTAGGACTGGTTTAGGTTTTTAGTCCTAGGTCAAGATTGTATGATTTTCTTCCCTGTGCAGGGGCAGATCGACAACATCGACCCTCAGAGGCGGCATCATTCAAAGGTTGGACCAGGACTTGCTGCACACCAGGGGCGACATTCAGCAGCTGCGTACAGACAAGGAGCAGCTCACGGCGGAGAAGAACAGCCTCGTGATAGAGAAGAACCAGCTTCAAGCCGAGAAGGACGCAGCTCTTAGCAGGGCGACAGTGGCCGAGAAAATGCTTGAGACGATCCAGAACGAGAAACAGGCTGGGCTTGGCAAATAACTCTAGTCCCTAAACCCCTAAACCCTAAACCTTAAACTCCTAAGATTTAGGTTTCGGGGTGGTTGGTTCCTTTGCTGCAGGAAATGGTGGACAAGCATTCGGCCGAGACAGCGAAGGCCTCGACCATGCTGACGGAGGTCAATGCTGCCTGGCAAAGGGACACCAAGCAGTGGGAGGAACGGCTCAAGACGACAAAGCGCATGCTGGAGGCATCGTATTTTCCAAAATCAATCCCCTAAACCTTAGAACCAAAAACCCTAAACCCAAAACCCCTAAACCCTGTAGGAGTCCGAAAAGTCCAACAAGAAGCTGAAGGCAAACCAGGACTCGGAATACAGTTTGCGGGAGAAGCTGCGAGGCGAGCGAGACTCCTACAAGGACAAGAGCGATCGGCTGGAAAAAGCTCTGGAGACAGAGCAGCGTGATCGCAAGATTGCCAGCTCCAAGTTGCAGGATGTGGAGAAGGAGAACGGCAAGCTGAAGAAGCGCTTGAGTAGGCTAGAGTCGCAGCTAGAGAAGAAAGCCTGAAGCCTTCAGACCAAAAGGTAGTAATGTCTTTAAAAACATCTTCCTAAACCTAGATTTGCCTTGAGGCTCCAGGTGTCATGACGAGTCTCACTGGCATCTTCCGCAGCGATGCAATGAGGGGTGGAAAGAGAGTGCATAAACCCTACTAAACCCTGAACCCCGAAACCCAACACCCAAAACCCAAAACCGAAAACGCCAAAACCCCAAAACCCAAAACCCCTAAACCCTAAACCCTAAACCCAACACCCAAAACCCAAAACCCCTAAACCCTAAACCCAAAAGCCAAAACCCAAAACCCTAAACCCCTAAACCCCTAAACCCTATGCACTTCGAAGCTGACTTAAACTTAAGCCTTGGGGGTTGTCCTCATGTGATGCATGTCAACGTGCCTCTGCCCAGGCCCGGAGTGGTTCTTCACTGCTGCTTTGTCGTTTGGGCCTCGGTGTGCAGGGTGCCGGTAGCCGTACATGTCGCATGCTTCGTTTCGCGATCTTTTCATTGACTGTGATTGTGCAAGCCTGCTGTTAGTCTTAGTGACCGAAGCCAAGTGACCGGAAACTGCCAGGTAATCCCTGGCCATCCATCCTGTCGTGAGCCTCAGAAATCAGTCGCTCGCAGGGGGCCGCGGTTTAGGGTTGTTTAGGGTTTAGGGGTTTAGGGCTTAGGGTTTAGGGTTTATTTGTTTCCGTTGTTGTTCCTGCCAATTTAACTCCTAAACCCTAAATCCCCTTCAGCCCAAGCCCGAAACTCGACACTCGAACACCTCACTAAGGGTAAGCTTTGGGTCAGCTGTTGAAAGCCAACCACGGAAGCTAGCGGGCACCTGCTTTAAGACCCTTAACCCTATAAACGAGCTTTGTCAAGCTTTGCACAACAATGGACAATAACCGCAAACCTGAAACCCTAACTGTCAACCCGGCCCGAAACCCTAAAACCCCAACCATAAACCATAAAACCGTTGCCTACAAGCACCTCTAGACGGAATCCAGCAAAAGCCGAGCTTGGCGCATTTACTAGGTAGGGTTTCTGGTCGGGCCCCATCTCAATCTAATGACTAACACTTATGGGCCTATGAGTCGCAACTGTTAGGGTGTATCCGAGTTCGAGTGAAGCACCCCATGGCCATGTTTTACTAAACATAGTATATACTTTCTCTCTGTATGCATCTTTCTCTATATGTATATCCATATCTATTTCTATGTCTATATCTATATCTATATATATTTATTTCTATTATATTTACATTTATATTTTTTCAGTTCGGAGGATAACACCTCCCAAGAACTCCTCGCCGCAACTGCTGGCCCCTAAACCCTAAACCCTAAATAGAGCCTTAAACAACCCCCCCTAAGTCGAATTTTAAGTCTCGAGACCCAAAGATGAGGTCACGGGCGAGGACGCTGCACCTGGACGTGATATTGATTGGGAGGCATATACTCCAAGGAAGTAAACCCTAAACTTAAACCCTAAACCCAAAGGCCCTAAGGCTAACGGAACCTTATTAGGTTGGTTTCTCGGTGTCAGGGCAGCGGGCATTCTGTGAAAACGTAGCAGGCTTTAAGGGCTTGGGTCGGCATTTGTTGACAAAAACAATACTTCCGAAGGATTCAATCTTGCTGCAACTCTAGGCTTACTTTGAATGCTGCCTAAGTGGTGGGAGCTCCGAGGAGGCGGAACGGGCATTTGAAGAAGGGTTTAGGGTTTAGGGGTTTAGGGTTTAGAGGTGCCACGTTGTTTAAATCCATGTCCATCCTTCAAAGCAGTATTACCGGCAGGGGTGCAGGTGGTTCCTTTTTCAGGACTGAGTGTATGAGCAACCCGTGACAAAAGTTCCAACATGCTCCCGACGACAACCCAAAAAGAGCACATTGCTGCAACATATCCCAACCCCTAAGCCTTTTCGGGCCAAATTGTACTAAGTTGCAAGACCCGAGCCTGAACCCAATATGTTGCAACGACTTGATGAGCACTGCAGCTGAGGGTCAGGCGCTCGAGAAGCGGATAGGAGACAGGATTGAAATTAGAGACGAGAGAGAGAGAGAAGTTTTATTAGGTTTAGGGGTGGGGGGCTTGTTGATTAGAGGGTTTGGGTTCGCGGGGGTATGTTGGTTTGTTTGTTGACTACTAGGAGGTGTTTGGGGTTTGGGTTTTAGAGGACTACTGGTTTTAGGGTGAAGGGGTAGGGGTGAAGGGGTAGGGGGTAGGGAAGTAAGGTTTTAGCCCTTAAGGTGGGTTCGCTACTTTGCTACTTTGAAAGCCTGAAAAGTCGTCTTCATTTCAGCTCGACGGCAAGCTGCTTTCCTTCACGCTTGGCTGAACCCTGCCACACTCATGATTCGTGAGTGAAGCAGCCAGGCTTCCTTGACATGTCGT